CTCATCGTCAGGGACCACGGCATCCGCCTGCTCGAGGCCCAGATCGCCACCGGCGGCATCATCGACCCCGTGCACAGCCACCGCCTGCCCGTGGAGGTGGCCTACAAACGGGGCTACTTCGACCAGGAGATGAACCAGACCCTCTCCGACCCCAGCGACGACACCAAGGGCTTCTTTGATCCCAATACCCGTGAGAACCTCACCTACCTGCAGCTGAAGGAGAGGTGCATCGAGGATCCCGAGACGGGCCTGTACCTGCTGCCTCTGCGGGAGCCCGAGAAGCCGAAAGTGGTGGAGACCACCCAGGTTTACACAGAGGCAGAGACGCGGAAGGTGTTCGAGGAGACGCAGGTGGACATCCCTGTGGGCAGCCGGGCGGGCTCCTCCATGTCGCTGTGGGAGATCATGCACTCGGACCTGCTGCCCGAGGAGCAGCGGAAGCAGCTCATGGAGGAGTTCCAGTCAGGCCGCGTGTCCAAGGAGCGCATGATCATCATCATCATCGAGATCATCGAGAAGACTGAGATCATCCGGCAGCAGAACCTCATGTCCTATGACTACGTCCGGCGCCGCATCACGGCCGAGGAGCTCTACGAGGCCAAGATCATCTCTCAGGACATCTACAACATGCTGAAGCAGGGCTCCAAAACCTTCCGGGAGCTCCTGGAGGTGGAGACCGTCTGGAAGTACCTCTATGGGTCAGGCTGCGTGGCCGGCATCTACATCCCCTCCTCCAAGCAGACGCTCAGCATCTACCAGGCGCTGAAGAAAGGACTGATCAACTCTGAAGTGGCCCGCTCCCTCCTGGAGGCCCAGGCAGCCACCGGCTTCATGATCGACCCCACGAAGAACGAGATGCTGACGGTGGACGAGGCGGTCAGGAAGGGCGTGGTGGGGCCCGAGATCCACGACCGGCTCCTGTCTGCAGAGAGAGCCGTGACCGGCTACAGAGACCCCTACAGCGAACAGAAGATCTCCCTCTTCCAGGCCATGAAGAAGGATCTCATTCCCAGCGAAGAGGCCCTCAAGCTCCTGGACGCCCAGATCGCTACCGGCGGCGTCATCGACCCGCACCTGGGCTTCCACCTGCCCCTGGAGGTGGCCTACCAGCGGGGCTTCATCAACAAGGAGACGCACGACATGCTCTCGGAGCCCAGCGAGGTGCGCAGCTACGTGGACCCCTCCACGGACGAGAAGCTCAGCTACACGCAGCTGCTGAAGCGCTGCCGGAGGGACGAGAACTCCAGGCTCCTCCTGCTCCCGCTCTGCGACACGCGGAAACTCACCTTCCGGGGGCTGCGGAAGCAGATCACCGTGGAGGAGCTCGTCCGCTCGCAGGTGATGGACGAAGCCACGGCCCAGCGCCTCCAGGAGGGCCTCACCTCCGTCGAGGAGGTCTCCAAGAACCTCAAGAAGTTCCTGGAGGGCACCAGCTGCATCGCCGGCGTCTTTGTGGACTCCACGAAGGAGCGTCTGTCCGTCTACCAGGCCATGAAGAAGGGGATCATCCGGCCCGGCACTGCCTTCGAGCTCCTGGAGGCGCAGGCGGCCACGGGCTACGTGATCGACCCCATCAAGGGCCTCAAGCTGACGGTGGAGGAAGCCGTGCGGATGGGCATCGTGGGCCCCGAGTTCAAGGACAAGCTGCTCTCTGCCGAGAGGGCCGTCACC